GATAGCTCTGATGGAAACATTTTAAAATTAATTCCTTCCTTTTAGGGCGCAGAAGCATAATTCCTGTTGCTACTTCTACAGCTTCTTCTAATACAGTTTTGAGCGTTCCTGCTATGTTGCATAATGCTTGTTGCTGAATTGTATCCAATTTGTATTTACTACTTTTTGCCGAGGAATAATTCAGAATGCTACCATAATCCACCCTTCCTTTAATATAATATTTATAGAACGTAAGCATTAGTTTAGAACTAGCACCCCATGCATTGCGCTTAAGAAATCGCGGCATATATAGAGGCCCTAGCCAAGTCTTGACCCTATGAGTTATATGTTTCTTCCAGTTGAGTTGTTGGTCCAGAATTATGTCTAAAAAAATAGTACTGTTTACTGTTCGAAAGCTATGTCTGGGTAATTTAATGTCAATGAAGTTATCATCGATTTTTCCATATTTATCAAAAATCAACCCAAGTGTTTTTGTTACATTTAGTTTGAATCTCCAGTTTTTCATCCTAATTGTAAGTTGGTAAATTTGCTTCTGCAACTCACAAAAAATACAGGGCAGATCTTTTCTTGTTCCCCAAACAGCATCATCATTAGCATATTGTGATAGGTTGTTCTTTATATCCGTGAACTTCTCAGCTAGGTCATTAATAATTATTGCAAAGGTGGTTGGAGACAAAACCGGGCCTTGGGGTATGCCATTTTGTTGTTCATAACATTGTGAGTATTTCTTTGTTACATTTACTGTAAAGAATCTCTGTTGAAAAAATTGTTCTACGTGTTTATAAAGTTTTCCGAATATTTTCATCTTCTGAATTTTTAGTAAGCACAGCTCCCTCAAAAACACACAGTAGACCTTTGATATGTCCAGGAATGCGACAACAGGTATATTTCTCTAACAGGTCAAACCATGTGTCTGTGAGCTGGAAAATATATGATAAAACGGATAATGTCAATTTTACAGAATATAATTATAAAATTAAAGAAGTTGTGATGAGGCGTCTTTATCAGTTAAAAGAAAAGGAAATGACGCGCAAATAACTAGATTACGATTCAAAATAGTATTTTTGGTATGACTCGGAGCTATAGAAATAGTTAGCGCTTAATGTATTCTGTCGTCTATTTTTGTTTCAAGTTTTTTAACATAATTGTTATGCTATAATGCAGTTACTTCAGATTCATGCTAGTCTTTCTTCTGTGTTATGTTTCTCGCAGATTCGAACCTCAACCTTCGGGCCAGCAAGCAAGAGCCTGGTAACTGGTCTATCACAGTTGTACAGCGAAAAATTACTTCGTGTTTTCCACTTTTTAAAATTTCTTTGTCCTTTTTTTAACAGAAATATCGCCGATGGATCGATGGGGCATTCATACCATCGCTAAATGAACACATCATAACCCGCACTATAGAGTCGTTTCATCTTTATTATAGTTGTAATCGCAATAGCTGTTGTTTGTAGTAGTAGTAGTAGTAGTAGTAGTAGTAGTAGTAGTAGTAGTAGTAGTAGTAGTAGTAGTAGTAGTAGTAGTAGTAGTAGTAGTAGTAGTAGTAGTAGTAGTAGTAGTAGTAGTAGTAGTAGTAGTAGTAGTAGTAGTAGTAGTGGTGGTAGTAGTAGTAGTATTAGTAGAAGTAGTAGTAGTAGTAGTAGAAGATGAGGTTTCAACTTCCCCCATACGGGTTACCCTATAATTGCTTCATTCTTGTGCCATTAAAAATCAGACGAGTGGGCTCCGTGGTCTCGAGGTATGGTGGCCGCCTCCAGTGCTAGAGATCCCGGGTCCAAACCCCAGTGAGATTTGGGATTTTTTTAAGTGCACTTCTAGTAATTTCCTCTGGTCTCTGGGTAGTAAGACCAGACGCCCGTGTGTATTGTTGCGCACGTAAAAAAATCCCTTGGCAGTTGGAAATCGAAAAAAGTAGCCTAACGACGCTGCTTATGCAAAAATTCGGAGTTACAAATCTACCCAAAATATTTCAGGATCCTAGCCTGTGCTACGGAGCAAGTGCCCTGCGCTGAGCTACTTCGGACTCAGACTTGAGTTAGAAGTAGAAAGGAGCGTTTATGGGTTACTACCCGTGTGCTGTAATGTTGATCCGTTGTTCAAACCTTTAAAATCAGACGGAACTTCCCTCACTGTCCCATTTAAAAACTGGTGAACAAACAATTAATTTAGTCACAGCAAAGTCTAGAAAATTGCACACGCCGTTTCATTTTTGATAAAGTCCGTTAATCTCTCCATAAACATTGTGGCATCACTCGCGACAAGTAATTAGTGACTAACCAAACAGAATCATCATGTTTTCTGAAGTCTGATGTTTGTTTTGGTCGGAACATCTTATTACTTTGTACAGTCTCCGACTGTTTGCGGTATTCTCACACAGGCAATCATTGGAGTCTTCTCTATAGTTCTATTAATAATTTTAAGTGTAAACATTATCTGTGAGGGTACGCCAGTCCGATCAATACTATTGTTTGACAATACACTTCAAAAGAAAGGGTATGTCTTTTTTTTTTTAATGTCTGGTAAACTATTACTTCTTGTTTTTCAGTTTTTACTCGTCCGGAACTGATAACTAATGATTGACACCGCAGTGAGTCACTCAGCACGTCACATTTATAATAACATCCAACAGAAGCAAATTCAAGATAAAAGGAATTAAACTATAAATATTACTTTAAAAAAAAAAAAAAAATTAAGGACTCACCTATACGAGCAAATGCAGAAAGCAGAAGCGATATAGTATCGTTTCCGAACAAGCAGAATGAGTGAGTGACTTTCTACCCCACTAGGACATCACACAAGCGATAAACACCCGATGACACAACGTGCCACCATGTGGATGAGGATCACCGTGGAGAGGTCCCAGAAACCGCGTTCAGACATTTGGCCATTTTTATGGCCTGCCTATATTGCGGCCCCTGGCAAAAGCCAGAGTGGGGCTTCAACTGAAAATTTCTACAGGTTTAAATGGTTGGTAAGAAAATCAAAGGTATCATAACAAGTCGTAAAGCCATGTCACCCATTCAAACAAAGTGAAACTATTTACACATGCAACGGTCCTTATTTCGTGGGATACAATTTTTAGCTATTTTGAAGCCCCACTCTGATTTTGCCGGGGCCCTAAATATAGCCGGGCCTGAAATATGGCCAAACGGCGGAAAGAGGTTTCCGGGGCCTTTCCACGGGTGATCCTCATCAGCTTGGTGGCACTTTGTGTCACCGGGTGTTTATCGCTTGTGTAATGTCCCGGTGTGGTGCAACTTACATACATACTTTACACATGTAATTTACAAACGCATGAGTAAGACAATAAGTTGTAACGAAAAACGTGAACTAATCATGTTTATGTCCTCCTCTGTGATACACGCCTTCCTCACGATGCCTAGATTTGTTACGAATGAGCATTCTGAGGTAGTTCTGCGGCAGGGCCTGCCACTCTAAAAAGAAGAGCATCAGTGAATTCTCTGACGTTTGTTAGAGGGGGTATATATTACCATCTAGAGTGAAGATCCCAGCAATGTTCAGTGGAATTCCGGTCGGGAAAGCTTGCCAATTCACTTTCGTCCTTTTCAGGACGAAAGTTTTTGTTATTTGAATCCCCACCCTGGCTTTTGCCAGGGGCCGCAATATAGGCAGGCCATAAATATGGCCAGTTGTCTGAACGCGGTTTCTGGGACCTCTCCACGGCGATCCTCATCCACATGGTGGCACTTTGTGTCATCGGGTGTTTATCGCTTGTGTGATGTCCTGTTGGGGTAGAAAGTCAAGTCAAGTCAAATTGCCAATCCGTAGTCTCAATAAATTCTGTCTCTGTGAGTTTCTCTGTTCAATGGAATTTAGGTTGGGCAACTTTTATGGCTAGTCCATAGTCTACATAAATTTTGCCACCACGAGTTTCTCTGATGTTATCTTTCCATTTGTCCTTGGTCTCCCTCGTGCTCTGCGCCCTTTTCCTCTTTTCGTGCATGTCTTATATGGTACGGTGGCACCAGGATTCTGTCTTCCGTGGGCACACCCTTTGATTGGCTGTCTTTGTATGTAATTTAGAATTGGTTCTGTGCCGACTTATTCTCTTAGGCCCTCATTCCTGATTGTATACATATCTTCTAGTCACTCCTGCAGCCCTTCTCGTACATCTAATTTGCATGGACACTAATTTTATTTTCTAGTTTGTTGTGTGTTTTCACGTCTGATACCGGAAGCACAAGGTGGGAATGAAAATGCTTTGTAACCAGCTCCAACATATTGTATTCAGGACTACCGCAATAGACAAACACTTTGTGGTTAGTATCGGCACTATTTTAGACACTTTGTGGTAAGTAAAAAGAAAAAAAAAAGAAAAGATCCCTTTTCACGCCTTTAGGCGCATCGGGTATGTGGGAAGAGCGCCCATATTTTTTCAGACAATAGGCACTAGGTGGGTAATGTGGTCAGCATTACGCTGGCTGTTTTTACTTCACCATGACAGCCATCCCGGTACCCATTTTAGGCTGGGTCGACCTGCGACGCCCCATACCCCGATAAAAATCCACGCAGCCAACGGTGAGTTTCGATCGCGGTACGTTGGAATTACGAGTCGGACTCGCAACGCCTAAGCCACGGACGCCGCTTTGTGGTGAGTACCGGGACTATTTTAGACACTTTGCGATGAGTACCGATACTATTTTGGAAACTTTGTGATGAGTACCGACACTATTTTAGACACTTTATAGTGTGTGCCGGCTCTATTTTAGACACTTTGTAGTGTGTACCGGCTCTATTTTAGACACTTTGTAGTGTTTTACCCCTACCTTTTTTCTTATAAAATAATCCATATCAGTTACCATAACAGAAACAATCCACTAAGGGCTAATATTAAAAAGGCCTTATTAAAAAAAAAAAAAAAAAGTTGAAAAAACGGATAATTATAATTACAATTCAAAACTTAAAAAAAAAAAAAAAAAAAAAAACTATAAGCTTCAAAATAAAAAGTCCATAGACAATGTTCTGTGGTCTCTTGTTGC